TAGATAGACAGTCTTCAAACCTCTCAAAGACCTTCAGAACATGGCATTTAAAATGGTTTAGGGTTTGTCTTGACAATGAGAAATGTCTGCTCCTGGCAGCACCAATTATGTCTGAGAGGAAGATGGGCATCGAAGAAACTTGTTATGGAATTTGCTTTCAACATGGCAAGATTAGCCATTTGGGCAAGAAACTGCTCTTGCCTAGATTGTTTGACTGTTGTTGTATCATCTGGACATGCAGGACCCACAGGAAAGTGACTACTGAACTCAGTCTTACAGGGTTCCTGCTTGATGAAGAGTCTACGAGACTTTCTGCAGGACAAAGAAAAATGACTGACAGACTGCCAACGCAGATGGACAGTTTAAAATTTCCTGCTTTGCTGAGAAGTGTTCCAGACACATTGTGGCCTATGGGCTGAAGATGGATGCCCCAACGTTACAGAGGAACTTCGGGTGACTGTCCAGGCAGTAAGATGTCTCTGTCAATCCTAGTGTTTATATATTATCCTTCTGTGGTCTTTGATGGAGTTGAAGACAGATAGTTATAATTATAGTTTTCCTTAGTTATGATAAAAGATAAGCTACATAAAGGACTTTGGACTCACAAGGATGGGATGGATGATATTTTCTTTAGATCTTGCTAAAATATTGTAACTATGTTCTTACTTGATAACTGTTCTGTCATATACAATTTGACTATGTTAAAATTAAGACCTTTCTTTTTGTTTAAACAGAAAAGAGGAGATGTTGGGGAAGTCTTATGTTAATAAAGTACTGTCTGGCCAATAGGAATCTAGATAGGTGGGGCTAGGAGTCCAGGAGGATTCTGGGAAGGAGAAAGGAGAGAGTTCGAGATGTAACCGCCATTGGGGTAGGAAGCCTGGAACCTCCCTGGTAAGAAACATACTTAGATTAACAATTATGGGGTAATTACTTAAGTCAGAGCTAGCCAGTTAGAAACAAGCAAGGCCAACAGCTTCATAATTAATATAGCCTCCTGTGTGTTTATTTGGGACTCGTGCGGAACTAGAACCAGGCTGGCGCGACAGAGCCCAGGCGACTGGCGGGGATAAACCAAAGCGGCTAACAAAAGAAAAAGCTCCTCTTAACAAAGGGCCAGGTCCCAGATAGCAATTACAGGCCTGCCATTTGGAGCAGTTGCTGGCTGCTGAAGAAAAGGCCAGATGCTGGCTGGGACTTGAAAACTAACCACAGTCACAGATTTCTGTTCTGGAGTAATAAGAAAGTCATCATTTAACAAGACAGTAGCAGGAAATTCTCATCTGGGACAAAAGAGTGAAGGGACCCAGGGTGCAATTGATTTCTCTGCTATGAAATTTCTCAGAATTTCTTCTATGTGTTGAGTAACCCTTATCACAATTTGATAATATATATATATATGTATATATATATTGGAATAATCTTTTTATTGATTTTCATTGTCAAATATTCTTTTAGTATAATCTAGTAGAATTTTTGAATTTATGTGTTGATGTTCCCAAACAGTTCTCTTTGCTTTGTGAGAAAGATCAAAGCTCTTGAAGATAACATTCATCCAAACTGACTTCCATGTTGAACCACATAAAACTAGGGACTTGGCATTCCAAATCTGTAAATATATTTGAAACCAAAATAGGTTTCTAGTGAGTTCTACAGGTACAGTTATACACAGAGAAAATTAAAATTGAAATTCCTGAGTGCTTGCATGGAGATTCTAGCAGGGGAGTGCATCTGCTCATATCCGCTTGACTGAAGACTGGTCCTCCTCCATTCGAGGAAGGTATTCCTCTTTACCCAAGCACACAGGTTCATGAGGAATACACATGGAGTGGTGAGGGAGGAAGGGGACACTTGCCTGTGCAGCCAGATCAGCCGAATCAATCCTGACGATCAACAGGGTGACTGATATCACAGCCAGATGATCCTCACATCATAAAATGGAATTCTTTTTTATTACATTTTCAATTTTTTATTAAAATATTTTTCATACAATATATCCTTTTGTATTCTGTCTCAACTCTTCCCAGGTTCTCCCAATCTCCTTACTACCTTATTGCATGTTCTCCACTATCTCCCCATAAAAATAAAGCAATGAACTTATATACATAAAAGTACAGAAAGAAAAACAAAATATCAGAAACAAAATATATATAAGAAAAAAGCCAATAAGATAAAAAGTGCTCAAATAAAGATGTATGAGAATAAATGTCTACAAATAGCATTGAGTTCATTTGTAATGGACACCTACTCCTGGGCATGGGACCTACACTGAGTGTGACTAACAGAGGACTATTTTTTCCTTTGCAAACAAGTACCAATTACAGATTGCTCCATGATTAGGGGTGGAGGATCATGCTATTTTTTTGCTTCAGCAGTGGGAACCCATATGACTTTAACCTATGAAGTCCTATGTGTTTGTGTTTCCATATCTCTGTGGGTTTATATGTGCATCAGTACAACCACTATGGAAATCAGTGTGGCAGCTTCTCAGGAAGCAAAATATAGATGTCCGTTGAGATCCAATTATATCACTCTTGGTCATATGCCCAAGGTCTCTACATACTACTATAGAGATACTTATTCTTTCATGTTCATTTGAGACCTTGGCACACTGTAATGTGATTCAGCATTCTGAAAAGCGTTTTTGAGCATTTGGAGGCAAACACTTAAAATTCCAACACTGGTCAGGCAAAGACTGGTGGATTGAAGTGTTTTATAGAGAGCCTGGTCTCAATAGAGGGTTCAATTACAGCCAAGTCTACATGCTAAGACGCTGTCGGGGATAAAAAAGAAAACATAAAAAGAAATGTGTGTTTTTGTGCTGAGTTCTTAATGTGTGCTAGGAATAAAATCGTGGGGAACACTGCCCAGCTAAAACAAGCATTTGATATGAGGAAATGTTCAAGGACACCATGTACTACAAGAGAATTATTCTCAGAGAATAATTGAATTAATCACGCAAATCTGCTCACCTGCAGAGCCAGTCAAAAAGTCCTAGAAAGTGGAGAGGGAGGGACAGTAGAGAATGATCCATTGGGACACAATTCACTTTTCCCGCATTCTGTTTTACTAGAAAGAATTCTATAGACTTCCAATGAGAAAGATCTCAGCATTATCCTGCTATGGCTATGAGATAACTTTCTATTTAAGAATTGGTACTAGTTAGAAAAGCAATCTTATACAAATATTCATGTGAGTCATACATACTACTTTTAGGTTCTCCTTCAAGATATATCCTTGCCTAATCCTCAAAAATAGGTTAGGCTTTCAGTTCCAGGAATGACTTTCTTGTGGTTGAGTCCTCCTTAAGTCCAATTATAAGCTGTTGGTTGGAAACAATGTATGTGTGCTGCTCTTGCAGCCTTCAGGTTATCATGCAGTGCAGACCATTGTTATGGTTCATAATTTTCATACCTGGGAAGGGCTGTTGGGTTTATGTTGGGGGAAGACTTGTGCCTCTGTCAATAAAGAATTGTTGGCCAATAGCGAAGCAATATAGGTGGGACTAGGGGTGCAGAAGGACTCTGGGAAGGAGTAACACAGAAGTCAAGATATAAGGCCATGGGGTAGGATGCCCAGAAAGTTCTCCGGTAAGAGAAAAACTTATATTATCAATTATAGGATAAATACTTAAGTCAGGACTAGCCAGTAAGAAACATACATGGCCAACAGATTAATAATTAATATAGCCTCCTGTGTGTTTATTTGGTCCTGATGCAGCTCTGGAACCAGGCTGGCGGGAAGGCTTCCTTTTACAGCTTCAAAAGTTTACAGATTGCCTTATGATAACAAGGAAACTAGTCCCCATAGTGGAGGCTTTCAATTCTATTCCAGATCAAGACTCCTGGCTCTCTGACAGGGTTTTTCTGTATTGTTTTGGAGGCTCTCAGACCAGCCTGGCCTCGACCTCACAGAGATCTGCCTACCTCTTGCTCCCGAGTACTGGGATTAAAGGCGTTTGCCACCACCGCCCAGATAAACCAAGCATTTGAAATGAGGAAATATTCAAGGCCCCCAAGCACTACAAGAGATTGAATTATTCTCAGGGAAACTGAGCTCACACCCTTAATCCCAGCACTGAGGAAGTGGAGACAGAAGGGGTGTGGCTTGGCAGATGGAGGTATATAAGTCAGGAAGAGAGCCAGCTCACCCCATTCAGTCTGAGGATTGCTAGACACCAGTTCTCCTCCTTTTTGCCTGAGGATTCACGAGACGTAAGAAGTCACACTAGGGATTGGGTCTTTGATTCTCTGACCTTTCAGCATTAACTCTGATTTCTGACTCTGGGTTTACTAAGACTAATGAGTATTCTGGCTATATAACCTGTTGTTTTAATTTGTGTTTTGTTAAACCCCAGTAATGTTACTGTGGACTTTTTACACGATGAGAATCAATATCTGCAGCTTACTTACAGTGCTTTGTACTCAGAAATGATGTCCTAGGATTGCAGCAATCTAGCATCTGTGGGTGAGAACAGCTTGTTTGAAATCACATCCAAAATTAGCATGTTTGGTTCCATGCGCATAATTGTAAACACTAACATTTAACATTGAAATTTTTCCCCAGCATTAACTTTTCAAGTAAGAAATATGCACTGACAAGTAAATATAAAATCCTAAATAGTATTTTGACCGATTTTGGAAAACAACATTTATCCCACCATTGGTGAGGCAAAGACAGCTGGATGTTAGTGAGATACAGGCTATCACTTCACTATATTGATTTCTACTTCAACCTGGGCTTCGTGGTGACAATGTTTCTCTGAAAAGAAAAAGAAAATATAAATTTTTATTTTTTTGCTGGGTCCTTAACGTTGCACTCTTGAACCTGTTTCATGGTACCAGGCCATATTATTTTCCCAGTAGGAAAGGAGTTTTAAACAAGGTGGGGTTGACACAGGTCTGGAATCTAATTTTTCAGTATTGTCCTGGTATCTGATTCCAGGTTTTTAAATGCAAATTAGAATTCTGGAGAACACGAGGTCTGATTCCCAGACCACCATGGACAAGAAAATGGATATGTCTTTGGATGACATCATTAAGCTGAACCAGAGCCAGCAAGGCAGTCACGGCAAAGGCCAGGGCTGGAGCAGGGCCAGCTACCAGGGCCACCACGGTGGTGCCATGCAGGCCTCTGTGTGGGGGAATCGATGCTGCATGTCTCTGAAATACCGGCCTACCATGAGTGGTGGCTCTGCAGGAGGAGGCAGGAAAGGACCGCCTCCCTACAGCAGGTCTATACAACTTTCCAACAAGTGGCAGCATGACCTATTTGACAGCCACTTCTATGGTGGAGCCAGCATGGAGATGGGTGGTAAGCTGTTGGTGTCAAACCTTGACTGTGTGGTGTCTCTCGCAGATATTCAGGAACTCTTCTCAGAGTTTGAAACACTGAAGACAACAGCTGTGCACTATGATCGCTCCGGACGAAGTTTTGGGACAGCACATGTGCACTTTCAACATAAGGCAGTGGCCCTGAAGGCTATGAAAAAATCAAATGGTATCCCGTTAGATGGCTGCCCCATGAATATTAAGATTGTTACATCACAGACTGACTCAGAACGAAAATAAGCACAGAGAATGAACAGAGGTGCCATGAGGAGAAACCATGTCTCAGGGGGTTTTGGTGGTGGCCTCATCCGGAGAGAGACCCGTGAAGGCAGCATTGGAAGAGGTAGAGGTACCAGCAGGAACTCAAAGCAGCTTCATTCTGCCGAGCAGTTGGTTGCACAGGTGGATGATTACAATGCACAGATGGATGCCAGTTAAACAGCCGGGCAAATCCACAGAAGTGACAGGTCCCAGAAACTTCGTCCATAATCCCTAGAGGGAGTGTTGCCAACTGGACTCTGCAGACAATGGTGGATTTCTTTTTCGTATGTCTTTCTCTTTTCCCTGTTTTAAAATGGGATCTGAAATCTCATGTAAAGCCTTTTTTTCTCTCTTTTTTTTAAAATTCTGAAACAGACCTGTTTTGTACCTAGGTATTTTGGCGATTAGTTTTACTGGTTAATTTTGTGGAGAAGATGGCATTTTAACCTTTGCCATAATAAAGTAGAATTGTGTGTAAGAAAGAAAATATAAATAGGATTCTCTCTACAAAACCTATTGTATTTTAGTTTCTTGTGAGCTGTGAGCTGACACCTAGTGGTGAGATGTGTAATTCCCTCAGGAGGAGGGTCAATGCCTGCAGCCTGCTCAGGGGGATTTTTACAGAGAATGGATGTGGCAGAGTTTCAGCAGTCAGCTTCATGTGGGTGAGACCAGTTTGCTTGCTGTCTCTCTTGCTCCTCCTGAAGTTTTCTTGGAAAATTATTTGTCAAGTGTTTTTCTTTCTGGCAGTTTTCATTAAATTTTGTCTATAGTGAATGAAATAATTCATTTGTGGGCTTTTGTGATCCCAAACATTCAGTTCCATTTCTGCTCCTGAGGTTTGACTGGGAAGTGATTGGAAGTAGCATTCAAGTTACACTCACTGAAGGTGGCTTCTAGGTATTTTCAGTGTTATGCCTGTTTATGTCAAATGGGCAATCACTTGTAGAGTCCTATATCTTTAACTACTCGTGGACAGTTCTGTGTTAACAATCTGGGTACTTTCCTGCTGAATGATCTCATTCCCATGTTGGGGGCAATAAATCACCCGGATCTGCTCACATGCGGAGCCAGACAAAAAGTCGTAGATAGTGGAGAAGGAAGAGACAGTAGTGAATGATCCGGTGGGATACAGTTCAGTTTTCCCACATTCTGTTTTACTAGAAATAATTATATACACTTCCAATGAGAAAGATATCAGAATTTTCCTGCTATAGCTTTCAGAAAACTTTCTACATAAGAATTGGTAGTAGTTGGAAAATCGATTTTATATGGATATTCAGGTGAGTCATGCATACTTCATTTAGGTTCTCCTTCAAGATATATCCTTCCCTAATGCTCAGAAATAGGGTAGGCTTTCAGTTCCAGAAATGACTTTCCTGTGGTTGAGTCCTCCTTAAGTCCAATTATAAGCTGTTGGTTACCAAGAATGTATGTGTGCTGCTCTTGCAGCCTTCAGGTTATCATGCAGGGCAGACCGTTGTTATGGTTCATAATTTTCATGCCTGGGAAGGGCTGTTGGCTTTATGTTGGGGGAAGTCTTGTGTCTTTGTCAATAAAGAACTGTTGGCCAATAGCTAAGCAAGATAGGTGAGACTAGGATTCCAGAAGGACTCTGGGAAGGAGAAACACAGAAGTCAAGATATAAGGCCATGGAGTAGGACACCCAGAAAATTCTCTGGTAAGAGAAATACTTAGATTATCAGTTATGGGATAAATACTTAAGACAGGGCTAGCCAGTAAGAAACAAGCAAGGCCAAAATCTTCATAATTAATATAGCCTCCTGTGTGTTTATTTGGGAATGATACGGCTCTGGAACCAGGCTGGAGGTAAGGGACCTCACAGAGATCTGCCTGCCTCTTCCTCCGGAGTGCTGGTATTAAAGGACTGTGCCACTACCGCATTTGAAATGAGGAAATGTTCAAGGCCACCAAGCACTACAAGAGATTGAATTATTCTCAGAGAAACTGAGCTCACACTCTTAATCCCAGCACTGAGGAAGTGGAGACAGAAGGGGTGTGGCTTGGTACAGGGAGGTATATAAGGCAGGAAGAGAGCCAGCTCACCCCATTCAGTCTGAGGATTGCTAGACACCGGTTCTCCTCCTTTTTGCCTGAGGATTAAGGAGAGGTAAAAAGTCACACTTGGGATTGGGTCTTTGATTCTCCAATCTTTCAGCATTCACTGTCATTTCTGATTCTGGGTTTACTAATACTAATTAGTATTCTGGCTACACAACCTGTTGTTTTAATTTGTGTTTTGATAAATCCTAGTAGTATAACTGTGGACTTTTTACACGATGATGGTCAATGTCTGCAGCGTACTTACAGTGCTTTGTACTCAGAAATGGCGTCCTAGGATTGCAGCAGTTTAGCATCTGTGGGTGAGAACAGCTTGTTTACTCCTCCTCAGTTTTTCTTGGAAAATTACATCTTAAGCATATTTCCCTATGGCAAATATAAGGCTTCCTAAAATTTAATGTATTGTGAATTATTTATGATATTCTTTTGTGGTTTTTTTGATCCTGATCATTCAGTTTCATTTGTACTCATGGGTTTTGACTGGGGAGTGATTCGAAGTGGCATTCAATTTACACTCATTCAAGATCCTTTCTTCATATCTTCAGTATTATGACTCTGCATGACAATGGAGAATTACTTGTAGAATCCTGTATCTTTATCTACTGTATATAGTACTGAGTTAGAAATCTAGGTATTTTCTAATGACCTCTTTCTCAAGTGAAGGGCTCACTGATCACCCAGACATGTTCACCTGTGAAACCAAACAAGGAGCCCTGGGACACAGAGATAGAGGAGACAGTAGCTAAAGATCTGGTGAGACAAATTCACTTTGCCACATTCTGTTTCCCTATAAATAATCCACTGACAATAATCTCAGAATTACCCTAGTATAGCAGCTAGATTTTCCACATAAGTATGGATAGTAGGAGGCAAATCAATTTTATATGAATATGCATGTGATTCATTTGTAGTGGATTTGGTTTTCATCCAAGACCCATCCTTACCTAAAACCCAGACACAGGGTGGGTTTCTAGTGTCAGACATGATTTCCCTGTTGTCGAAGAGTTCTTAAGTCCAATTAGAATCTGTTATTTACCACCAATTTGTTTGTGCCACTACTGCACACTTCATCTTATCATGCAGGGTAGACCGTTGTTATGGTTCATAGTTTTCATACCTGGGTAGGATGTTGATTCCCTACCTTAAAAGCTGGTATGTTGACTCTTGATACCAGGAAAGCTAGCCCCCAGGGAGGAGGATATATATTCTGTTCCACATCAAATCTATTGTGTGTGACTGAAGCACATGGCTTCATCATCTGTAGGGTCTCACAATCTACTAAGGAGAGGTAAAGAGGACAACTACAGTAGACTGCAGTGTTTTGGAAATCTCAAGAACAGCAGTGACCAACAATATCAAAGCAGGCTACTGTGAGTGCTTTGTCTTAACTCTGTGGTCCTTTTGAGGGACATCATTGACTGAGATGGAAATTTTTCATTTATGCTCTTATTGTATATCTTTTCAGAGACTTAGATATATTATAGGCATTTTGATAGACCATAATATTAAGAATCCTTATGACATTTTCAGACATCCATACTGTTATTTTTCTCTCTCTCCTGTGTTTATGTCTGTTCCTTCTCAACTAATCTCTGTCTCTCTCTGTCTCTGTCTCTGTCTCTGTCTCTCTCTCTCTCTCTCTCACACACACAATCTTTATTACACCCCCTTCTTACATCTTTGTTTCCTGTTTCTTTTTTCTACTGTCCAATATTCCCCCACTCCCCACATGAGTCTCCTTTTACTTGTCTGGTTATTCCAGTTACTCCTGATTGTGTACTCCTATTTGAAGATTTGGAGCAAGGAACATTGTCTTTCTTTCTGTGTCTGACTGGAGTCACTCAATATTATCTCTTTAGAGTCATCAATTTAGCTGCACACATCATGATTTCAAGTTTTCTTACAAATGAATGGAATCACATGTTGACACATATGCCAATCTCAGTTTCACACCCAGAGATATACATAGATACACAATGTGCCTATGTGTTTTGTGCTTGCACATCTCAAATATGCCCTGATGTAACTACCTACCTTTCTCCCCCACTGTGTTCCTTTCTACTGATTGTCTTTTATACCCACTGGAAAAATCCAGGAATTTTGTGAGACTGAGGTTTTGGAAGTGTGTTGGAGACCTTGGGCTCAGCTGAAGACTACATCTAAATGCAATGTATCTCCTTCTAAATTGCATCCATAGAGAGAATTTTAGACTTTACGTTGAGGCTCTCTGAGTCTTTCCTTTTCCTAGACCGATTTATTGATTGTGGTTTAGTATGGGGTCAATGTAAGTAAGTACAGCTGTGGTTGGTTACAGATTACAACAGCTGTATGGTGTCTAGAGAATGGCATGTCTTAGGCATCCCTTCTCTTTCCCATCTTATTTCCTTTCTTCTTCCTATTCCTCAGTGTTCACAGAACCATAGATTGAAGGCATAACTGATGTTTTAGGCCAGGAAAAATATACCCATAGAGATATTTTGTTTGTATTCAAACAAATATTTGCATAAATAATACATTAGTTGGATCTTTTTTAAATTTTGACAGTATTGCAAGTATAGATGTATTTTGATTATAATCTAAACAATAAGCTTGCCTCACAATCACACTGCAGAACCAAGTCATTAGTTAGGCACACTCCTAGTTAAGATCAAAGTCACTAGTTAGTCTCACATCTATGCCACAACTTCATCATAGAGTCAATGCAGAGGTGGCCATGCCTTTAATACCAACACTCATGAGACAGATGTAGATGGATCTCTGTTAGATCAAGTCCTCCCTGGCCTATGCCAGAATGACTCAGGCTAAAAGAGAAATGGAGCTCCCATCATTGATCCCTGCAATTGGGATCACAAGCCTTTAATCCCAGGAGTAGGGAGGTGAGAACAGGATTGATGATTTGTTGGTGAGAGGAATATAAGTCAGGAGGAGACAGGATCAATGCAATGAGAGGTTTGGTGGAGATAATTGCAGTGTGAGAATTCCTTGAGGCAGTATTGTCCATTTTGACTGAAATAAAGGTAAGAGGTATGGGTTGGCCTCTTTGTTTTTCTAATCTTCAGACAAGCCTTATTTGTTAGATTACAAAAAAAGATCACTACACATACCGTACTTATTTTCTGCATCTGGTATTGGCATTCACCTAGGTGTAGGTGGGGACCTTGTGTGTTGGGAGGGTTGTCTCAGCACCTTAGTTAGCATCAGACACAGAAGACAAACATGTTTTATAGTAACTAAAATGATAAGACCACCATCTACTGGTGACAGAAGAACAATGCTGGATGAACTCAGAAGTTGGTTATTAGCATTCACTGACCACTAACATAATGAGACACATATTAGGAGTGGGGGATTGGAGGCATGGTTTCTATGTGGCATTGGAGGCTATCTTGGAACCATATATTGTAGACCAGGGTGGTCTCAAAATCACAGAGTTCTTCATGCTGCTGCCTCCTGAGTGCTGGTATTAAAGGCATGCACTACAACTCCCTGGCAATTATGTCTTTCTTTTTTTTTTATTTCTGTTTTGGTTTCTTGAGACAGTGTTTTCTGTATATATTTGGGGCGTATCCTGGAACTTGCTGTGAAAAACAGACTTGCTTTAAACTCTCAATAATCATCCTGCCTGTCCCTCCCCCGTGGTGGCATTAAATGCATGAGTGTTTTTTTCAGAATCCAAGTTCCAGAATTGTCTCGACCCAAGTCATAATTGCCATATTTTGTTTGGGCTATTTAGGTTTCTGTTAGAGATGGGAAACTGGCATCATATTTAGTTTGCTTTTGTTGGTGTAAATTGAATGCCAACATTTTCATTGTTCAATTGAGGTGAGGTTACATAATTCTATCTGTGTGGGGCAGATACTGGGATACAGAGTTCTCTTATATTCAGTTCTGCTCTAATCAAGCAGCAAGCATGTTGATAGGTTGTGTGGAAGCAAGCTCAGGCATCCTGAAATTAACTGTGTGGAAGATAATGTGAGACAGGAGGACATAGTGGTGCATTGTGGAAGGACCACTCACCTGTAAAGATACGGTGGGATGGGTTTTAGATTCAGATGGTTCAAGAGAAAGACTGCAGAGTGGAAAAATCTATAGAATTCTCAGTAATTGGATTTTGGGATACCAAGTGTGTGAGGAGTGTGAAGTTCCACTGTGAAGATAAAGAGTTAAGTGTCACAGACAAAGATCAGATATAACAACCAGGCCTGCAATGTGGGGAATTTCTGGTGCAGACCTCAGTGCTGAGTAAAAGGACAGATACTCACTGGCACTCAAAAACCACAGACAATCACAAATTCCAGGTCAGGAGTCATGTGAAAGTCACCAGTCAACACCACAGAGACAGGTAAACCTGTCCTGGGATATAAGAGGTAAGGGTCCAGGGATGCAAATAGTTTCTCTGATGTTTATGAAGAATCTGGCTCTGAATTTCTGCTGTCGATGCCTTACCATTATGAACAAATTTCATTTTATATGTACTGAACTCTTCTTCCTCTTTTATTGATACTCATTGCAAAATATTCTTATTGAATCATCTATCTGCATACTTGAATTTATGTCTTGATATTTGCAAACAGTTCTCTTTGATACAATAGAAAGGACTAAGGTCTTCAAGTATAGAGTCATCCATGCAGACTTCCATATTACATCACTTTCCTACTCAAAATGAGGCACATAAAAAGTAGAGACTAGGCATTCCCAACCAGGAAATGAAATCACATCACATCCAAATTTAGCATTTTTGAGTTCCATGTGCATAGTTATAAACACTAACATTTAAAATTGAAATTTTTACCCAGCATAAATTTTCAACTGAGAAATATGCATTGTCAAGTAAATATAGCATTCTAAATAGTGTTTTGGTAGATTTGTGGAAAACAACTTTTATCCCACCACTGGTGGGGAAACGACAGCTGGATGTCAGTTAGATACAGGCTTTCCCTTCACAATATTGATTTCTACTTCAACATGGGCTACGCGGTGAGAGTATTTCTCTAAAAAAAAAGAAAAAATGAAATTTGTATTTTTGTGCTGAGTCCCTAAAGTTGCACTATTGAGCCTGTTTCAAGATAGCAGACCACAGTATATTCCCAGTTAGAAAAGGAGTTTTAAACCAGATGGTTTTGACACAGGTCTGTTGTCCAACTTTTCAGTATTATCCTGGCATCTGATTCCAGGTTCATTAACACGAATTAGAATTCAGGAGAACACGATGTCTGATTCGAGAGTACCATGGCCAACAAAATGGATATGTCTTTGGATGACATCATTAAGATGAACCGGAGCCATCAAGGCAGTCGTGGCAAAGGCCAGGGATGGAGCATGGCCGGCTGCCAGGGCCGCCACAACGGTGCCATGAAGGCCCCTGTGTGGGGGCATCGATGTAGCAGGTCTCTGAAGAACCGGTCTACCATGAGTGGTGGCTCTGCCAGAGGAGGCAGGAACTGGCCAGGTCCTTACAGCAGGCTTAAACAACTTTCCAACAAGTGGCAGCATCACCTATTTGACAGCCACTTCTGTGGTGGGGCCATCATGGAGATGGGTGGTAAGCTGTTGGTGTCAAACCTTGACTGCGGGGTGTCAGATGGAGATATTCAGGAACTCTTCTCAGAGTTTGGAACACTGAAGACAGCAGCTGTGCACTATGATCGCTCCAGACGAAGTTCTGGGCCAACACATGTGCACTTTCAACAGAAGGCAGATGCCCTGAAGGCTATGAAACAGTACAATGGTGTCCCGTTAGATGGCGGCCCCCGAACATTCAGCTTGTCACATCACAGACTGCCTCACAAAGGAAACAAGCACAGAGAATGAACAGAGATGCCTTGACGAGAAACCATGGCTCAGGGTGTTTTGTTGGTGGCCTCATCCGGAGAGGTGTCCGTGGAGGCAGCATTGGAAGAGGTAGATGTACAAGCAGGAACGCAAAGAAGCATCTTTCTGCCAAGAAGTTGGATGCACAGCTGGATGAGTACAATGTACAGATGGACCCCAGTTAAACAGTCGGGCAAATCCACAGAAGTGACAGGACCCAGAAGCTTCGTCCATAATCCCTAGATAAATGGTTGGCAACTGGACTGTGCAGACAATGTTGGATTTCTTTTTCGTTTGTCTCTCTCTCTCTCTTTTTCCCTGTTTTAAAATGGGATCTGAAATCTCATGTAAAGGCTCTTTTTCTCTCTTTTTTTTAAAAATTCTGAAACAGACGTGTTTTTTTTCTTTTTTTTATGAGACAGGGTTTCTCTGTATTGTTTCAGAGGCTATCGGTCCAGCCTGGCTTGGAACGCACAGAGATCCGCCTGCCTCTGCCTCCCGAGTGCTGGGATTAAAGGCGTGTGCCACCACCTCCCGGCTCAGACCTGTTTTATACAGAGTTATTTTGGCAATCAGTTTTACTGGTTACTGTTGTGGAGAAGGTGGCATGTCCACCTTTGCTATAATAAACTAGAATTGTGTGTAGGAAAGAAAATGTAAATAGAATTCTCTCTACAAAACACATTGTGTTTTAGTTTGTTGTGAGTTGACACCTAGTGGTGAGACTGCATAATTTCCACAGGGGGAGGGTCAATGCCTGCAGCCTGCTCAGGGGGATTTTTTTTCTTTTTTATTTATTTATTATTATTATTTTTTTATTTTCCATTTTAAATTTAGATAAGAAACAAGGTTGCTTCACAAGTCAGTTCGAGGTCCCTCTCCCTTTCCCTCCCCTCCTACCGTACCCTCCCCCCATCCCCCCTTATTCCCTCATTCCCCCAGGGAGGATGAGGCCCTCCATGGGGGTGTCCATAGTCTATCATTTCATATAGGGCAGGTCCTAGACCCTTCCCCAAGAGTTCAGGGTGAGAGTGCACCTCACATTGTTCTATGGGAGTCCAGAGTCCGTGTGTATACTTGGGATGGGTACTGATCTGCTGTCCAAGGCTCAATAGATTACCTAGGCCTCCTCACTGACACCCAGATTCAGGGGGTCTTGATCAGTCCCATGCTGGATTCCCAGGCTGATGCCTGGGATTCAAGAGTTAACCTTTGTCTGGTCAGCTGTTTCTGGGGGTTCAACCAGCCCAGTCTTAATCCCTTTGATCATCAGTCCTCTGATACTGGCTTTCTTGAGTTCAGCTCAGTACTTAACCAGCCACTAAATGAAGTTTCTGTTTCCCAGACTCTCTGGCCATAGGATTGTAGGCTGGCACTCCCCATATCTATGTCTAAAATCCATATATGAGAGAGTACATGCCATGTTTCTCTTTTTGTGACTGGGTTACCTCACTCGGGATGGTTTCTTCTAGGGTCATCCATTTGCCTGCGAATCTCATAATTCCATTATTTTTTTCTGCTGAATAGTACTCCATTGTGTAGATGAAACACATTTTCTCTATCCACTCTTCGGGTGAGGGACATCTAGGTTTCTTCCAAGTTCTGGCTATTACAAATAAAGCTGCTATGAACATAGTGGAACAGACATCTTTGTTATATGAATGGGCATCTTTTGGATATATGCCTAAGAGTGGAGTTGCTGTGTTTTGTGGTAGGTTTATTCCCATTTTTCTGAGGAATCTCCATACTGATTTCCAAAGTGGCTGAACCAGTTGGCACTCCCACCAGCAATGGAGGAGTGTCCCCCTTTCACCACATCCTCTCCAGCATAAATTGTCATTGGTGTTTTTGATTTTAGCCATTCTGACAGGAGTGAGATGGTATCTCAGAGTTGCTTTGATTTGCATTTCCCGGATGGCTAAGGATGTTGAGCACTTTCTCAAGTGCCTCTCAGCCATTTTAGACTCCTCTATTGAAAACTCTCTTTAGTTCTGCAGCCCATTTCTTAATTGGGTCCTTTGCTGTTTTGGAGACTTGCTTCTTGAGTTCTTTGTAAATTTTGGAGATCAACCCTCTGTCAGATGTGGGATTAGTGAATATTTTTCCCATTCTGTGGGCTGCCTTTTTGTCTTGCTGACTGTGTCCTTTGCCTTACAGAAGCTTCTCAGTTTCAGTAGGTCCCATTTATTAATTGTTGATCTCACTGTCTGTGCTACTGGTGTTATGTTCAGGAAGCTGTCTCCTGTACCAATTCGTTCAAGGGTACCACCCAATTTCTCTTCTAAGAGGTTCAGTGTGGCTGGATTTATGTTGAGGTCTTTGATCCATTTGGACTTAAGTTTTGTGCATGGCGATAAACATGGATCGGTCCGCATTCTTCTACATGCCAGTCTCCAATTATGCCACCACCATTTGTTGAAGATGCTTTCTTTATTCCATTGTATATTTTTAGCTTCTTTGTCAAAGATCAGATGTGCGTACATGTGTGGGTTAATACCCGGATTTTCAATTCGATTCCATTGGTCAAGCTATCTATTTTTGTGCCAATACCAAGCTGTTTTCAGGACTATAGCTCTATAATAGAGATTGAGGTCAGGGATAGTGATGCCTCCGGACGTTGCCTTCTTGAACAGGGTTGTTTTGGCTATCCTGGGTCTTTTGTTTTTCCCTACAAAACTGATTATTGTTCTTTCAAGGTCTGAGAAGAATTGTGCTGGGATTTTAATGGGGATAGCATTGAATCTGTAGATTGCTTTTGGCAGGATTGCCATTTTTACTACATTGATCCTACCTATCCAATAGCATGGGAGATCTTTCCATTTTCTGAGGGCTTCTTTAATTTCTTTCTTTAAAGATTCAAAGTTCTTACGATACAGGACTTTCACTTGTTTGGTTAGCGTTACCCCAAGGTATTTTATGTTCTTTGTGGCAATTGTAAAGGGTGATGTTTCTCTGATTTCTCTTTCAGTCCTTTTATCATCTGTATATATTAGGGCTACTGACTTTCTTGAGTTGATCTTGTAACCTGCCACTTTGCTGAAGGCGTTAATCAGCTGTAAGAGTTCCCTGGTAGAGTTCTTTGGGTCATTGATGTAAACTATCATATCGTCTGCAAACAGTGAAAGTTTGACTTCTTCCTTCCCAATTTGTATCCCCTTGATCCCCCTTTGTTGTCGTATGGCAATAGCTAGAACTTCATGTACCATGTTGAAAAGGTATGGAGAGAGTGGACAGCCTTGTTTTGTTCCTGATTTTAGTGGAATTGCGTTGAGTTTCTGTCCATTTAGTTTGATGTTGGCTGTTGGTTTACTGTATATGGCTTTTATTATGTTTAAGTATGTCCCTGTTATCCCACATCTCTCCAAGACCTTTATCATGAAGGGGTGTTGGATTTTGTCAAAGGCTTTTTCAGCATCTAGTGAGATGATCATGTGATTTTTGTTTTTCAGCTTGTTTATATGGTGGATTACGTTGATGGATTTTCGTATGTTAAACCATCCCTGCATCCCTGGGATGAAACCTACTTGATCGTGGTGAATGATTGTTTTGATGTGTTCTTGGATCCGATTTGCCAGTATTTTATTGAGTGTTTTTGCATCAATGTTCATGAGGGATATTGGTCTGAAGTTCTCTTTCTTGGTTGTATCTTTGTGTGGCTTGGGGATCAAGGTTATTGAAGCCTCATAGAAAGAGTTTGGCAAAGACCCTTCTGCTTCTATTGTGTGGAACACTTTGAGAAGAATTGGTATAAGCTGTTCTTTGAATTTGTGGTAGAATTCTGCACTGAGGCCATCTGGACCTGGACTTTTTTTGGTTGGGAGACTTTTGATGACAGCTTCTATTTCCATAGGGGTTATAGGTCTATTTAAATTGCTTATCTGTTCTTGATTTAGTTTTGGCAAATGATAGCTGTCCAGGAAGTCATCCATTTCCTTTAAATTTTCGAATTTTGTGGAGTACAGGTTTTCAAAGTATGACCTAATGATTCTCTGGATTTCCTCAGAGTCTGTTGTTATGTCCCCCTTTTCATTTCTGATTTTGTTAATTTGCGTGTTCACTCTCTGCTGTTTGGTAAGTTTGGACAAAGGTTTGTCTATCTTGTTGATTTTCTCAAAGAACCAACTCTTCGTTGCATTGATTCTTTGTATTGTTTTCCTGGTTTCTACTTTGTTGATTTCAGCCCTCAATTTGATTATTTCCTGGCGTCTAGTCCTCCTGGGGGAGTTTGCTTCTTTGTGTTCTAGAGCTTTTAGCTGTGATGTTAATTCTCTGGTATAACTGTTTTCCTGTTTTTTCATGTGAGCACTTAGTGCTATGAACTTCCCCGTAGCACTGCTTTCAAAGTGTCCCATAGGTTTGGGTATGTTGTGTCTTCATTCTCATTGAATTCGACGAAGTCTTTAATTTCTTTTTTTATTTCCTCTTTGACCCAGGGATGGTGCAGTTGAGCATTATTCAATTTCCATGAGTTTGTAGGTTTTCTGCAATTTGTGTTGTTGTTGAATTCTAATTTTAAGGCATGGTGGTCTGATAAGATGCATGGAGTTATTCCAATGTTTTTGTAGCTGCTGAGGTTTGATATGTTGCCAAGTATGTGGTCGATGTTTGAGAAGGTTCCATGTGGTGGTGAGAAGAAGGTATATTCTTTTTTATGTGGATGAAATGTTCTATAGATATGTTAATCCCATTTGTGTCATTACTTCTATTAGACCCTTTGCTTCTTTGTTGAGTTTCTGTCTGGTATTCTTGTCTAGTGGTGAGAGTGGTGTGTTATTCCAATGTTTTTGTAGCTGCTGAGGTTTGATATGTTGCCAAGTATGTGGTCGATATTTGAGAAGGTTCCATGTGGTGTTGAGAAGAAAGTATATTCTTTTTTATGTGGATGAAATATTCTATAGATATCTGTTAATCCCATTTGGGTCATTACTTCTATTAGACCCTTTGCTTCTTTGTTGAGTTTCTGTCTGGTATTCTTGTCTAGTGGTGAGAGTGCTCAGGGGGATTTTTACAGAGAATGGATGTGGCAGAGTTTCAGCAGTCAGCTTTCTGTGGGTGAGAACAGTTTGTTTGCTGTCTCCCTTGCTCCTTCTGAGGGTTTCTTGGAAAATTATTTGTTAAGAGTATTGCTTTCTGGCAGATTTTCTTTAAATTTGGTCAATAGTAAATGAAATAATTCATTTTGTGT